ACTATCCAGTCACACTGATGCTATATCACACCTTTGAGATCCAGTCTACCACTTGGACCAGTTGATCTGTTGTGGCTGGAAAAGGATTAGACTGCAGCTGAGAAATGTTTGATTAATCCCCCCTAACAAACTCCAGGCATTGATTAAAGCATTAAAGCAGGTAGATTTAAGTGTTTTAACAGATATTAATCCTGCTGTTGTCTGCTGTGAATGGTAACTGTCAGCACTTTTATAAGCTGATTTATAAGCAGTCATTTAAAGTGCTGACTGTATGGGTTGTATTTTGGTGCCATAAAAAGACTCTCTAAAAAACCTTGACTCTACCAACACTGTATCCTCTGGGTGTCTTCTGGCTGTAAATCTGTGAAATCTTTCACACAGAGGGTGCTGAGCCACACTGCCTGTGATTGTTTTGATCACAGGCAGATTGCCACAGTGGTCTGTAGTTCGTATAGAAGATGTGGACTTGTCTGCAAACACTTGCAGCTGAGCAGTCATGAAAAAGTGCAATAGAAACCAGAAATAAAGAATAATAAACTAGCTAGCTATAGTGAACAAAAACTACTATTAGTACTAGTGATAATAAGCTAACATTAGCATGCTAACAGGTGATAGTTTGAACTAACTTAGGTTTATTCCTTAACACAGGTTAAATAAAAATGTTTTTCAGGTTAAACATTATATCTCATCAAGTCTTTATTTTTAATTGGTTGCATAGCAACAAGTATATTGTAGAGTCAAAACACTGTCACCTTTAAGTAGAGCTGTCAATTCTTTGTGTTGTTTACCGTTATTAGCTAACAACTATTTTAGCTACGATCCCACAATGTGTGTACAGAAACTCTACCGTTTCATAACAAAATACCAATCCTATTAAGTAGTATCTACTAAATACTACTTCATTGTTATTTTTTTTTATTCAGTGAGCTCTCATATTTAACATATTTTAATTGAGGTTCTTCTTTGCTGTATTTTTTTTTTTTTTTTACCTTGTTGAATTATTTGCCTTGTTTCCTTTATTTTATTAAGCTATTGTATTTTCTTTGATTTACTATTTATTTTTGCTTCACAAATTTTAATTTTAATTTTAATTTTTTTTTACTTTTTTCTATAAACTTTTAATGTAACTAAAATTGAGCTCTTCCCCCTTTTAAAATCCTCAACTGTCTCAAAAATTTGCCATTTTTTCTGTTGATTGTGTCTGCTGTGACACTCAATTTTCCAACTTTTGGAGTAAATAGAGTATAACTTACCTTGTTTATTTTTTTAAATTGTCAGTATTATTGGCTTTCTTAATTTTCCAAAAAACAAAATAGACAAGGCTAGGCATGGCAGGCATGTTTAATAATTTACAAAGACTTATTTTCAGCATGGGTCTGGATCGTCTGGACCCCAGGATCAGTGACCATCTGTCAGTCAGCTCTGGTCAGCCTCCAGGCATTGTGGTCTGGGCTGAGGATAGACCCACAGGGAAGGGATGGGTAGCATGTGGGGCCAGTTATTGATCTGTTAGACACTAAGCTTCATCAAACATTGATCGCCAAGGGGCCTGTAGTGGTAAATAAACTAGCTGAAACCGCACTGAATGAAAACATTTTGTTATTTCAATAGGTGTGTTTTGTTTCTCATTCCTAAAGTGATGGAAATCCAGTAATGAGGATAATCAGAGGCGCGCTGAAACTGAAAGATTAGCCTATTATCCTCATTTTAACCAGTCTGCTGTTGGTGGTGCTAATGCTCTCCTCTCTTTTCTTCTTCTTGTATGTTTCCAATGCCACCATCTCCTCCCAGACCCTCATGCAGGTGAGTATTTCTTCATCTGTCTTCCCATGTGAATTCTGTTTTTCTACTTCAAGCACCTCTTTAATTTAGTGTCAGAGGAGGCGGCTGCAGCTTAGCCCACAGTGTTAGCAGGGAACATTGGCAAACTCCTTTGAAGTTTTCTGCAGCTGTAGTTGGACTCCTGAAGCCTTGAGGGCAAGCTGAAGTGCATCCTGAATCATTTATACGAAACAATTAGAAACACTGAAGTTAGCTTGAAAGGCTTATGTAGAACCTGTCTCTTACATGGGCCTCTGCAGAGAGATCATGGTGGTGTACTAAAATAGACACCGGTCTAACATTTTACCACAGAATGTGCTTTTCGAGTATAATATAAATCAGTCAGCTTCTCTATTTTTTTTTTACTGATTCCCTGGATTATTTCATTTATACACATTATATTTAATGTCTAGTTTCCCTGAAGCTCATTTGATGATTTGATGTATTGCAGCTGTAGGATGTTCAGCCTCTTTTGCTGTCAGCTGCTTTTAGATCAGTATTGGCCTACTTTGTCATTTTGTCTCTTTTCTTCTTCATCACACTGAACATGTGCAATAAACTTTGTGTAAACTTACACAGGGCAAAGGGGCAACTGGGGGGTAGAAAGGGAGTTAAAAGTACTCCAACTGATAACTGTCACTATTGTTGTGTGGGTACACATTGCACAGTGCAGATAGCTAAATGCCAGAGCCATTCATTTTTAACCACAGGTTTAATGGAGAAGTCCTGTCCAAGCTCTGCCTACTATCCTAGATTTAGGTAACTGCGTTGTTTGTTCTGCCCCTTATGCATCACCAAGTTTATTTTAATTATGAGGTGTTCCACATGGTTGTTTGTGATTTAGTAATGATGAAATATTTTCCTCTGTACGTTGGTTACGTCACTCCAGTTAAATGATATTTTCCTTGAGAGCTTGTTAAATAAAAAAAACAGAATTGTTTCTTAACTTATTGGCTTATTAAAATTCCAAACAAAAAATGCAATAATGGCTATTCTTTTTTGTCCCGTTTAACATTTTCTGAAGCAATAGGTGCCCCAGATCTGCTCTGTGTAAATACTTTTCTCCTTTCTCAGATTAGATGATGTCAAAACACTCAGGCCTCATTAGACACATTTCCAGGTATTTGGGGAGAAGCTTTATTTCCACAGGAAAGTTTTCTTATAGCCCAGTCAGGGATTTAGGTGGCTGCTAATCCATCAACATCTGCTATTGAGGATGTTGTTAAAGCTCATTGTTTAATTAAAGCATTAACCTGACCATGTGTGACCAGCTCTGTTCTTTGTTGTTGTCTTGTTGTGGCTGTTTCCTTCATGTTGGCATAACAGATCAGTTCCAGGAGACTGTTTAGTATCAGTTTAGTATTTTAAAGGATGTTCAGGAAACTTGTAGAAAGAACCAAGCAGGTTGGTTGAGGATTAGTGGGAAGTGGCTAAGCAGATGTCTTACAGGTATGACAGCAGTCAGACTGTAGTATTAATGAGAACAGAAGGATGCTGCAGATGAGTGATGACTGTGTAATCACTACAGCCAACTGGGCTCACCATTTGGTGTATTAGGTTTGCACACCAACCTGCGTACAGCAGCAGCAGGTGGATGAAGTATCAGGACACTGTGTCTTCATCATCCAGTGTTCCCATCTGTTTTTTCTTTTTCCTGCCTGCTGTTCCACATCAGTTTACATATTTGCTCGTAATACTTTGAGGCCGGCTGCTTGTTTAATAATTCACTGATGGGTTTTTTTGGTCTGTGTGACGTTGCTTCATTAAAAATAGATGATCTTTGTTGTGGATTTGAAAGCTTGCAGAGTGCAGAGCTTGTTCAGTGTTTCCTCCAGCGTGCGGCGATGTGCAGGTAAGCTGTGTCGACTTGATTTCTCGCTGGCTTATCAGTTACATTTCTGGGATTTAAGTGGGCAGAGCTGCTGTCAGTGTGGCCGGTAAATCAAGCCTTCAGTTGTAGGATTTGTTTGGGGTCTTGGCTGGCTGCCTGTTGGATTCTCAGTGGGTCCTCTTCAGTAAGGGAGGTGTGTTTAGGGAGTTGAAACTTGCATTTTTGGAGGGTCAAGAGCAGCTACAGGACAGCATAGCAAAGTCCGCAATTCCTCCACACCTCCCTGCCAGGGATACATTGGCAGCTGTATGGTAATTAGCCATAATCTGGAGGCTCACAGGGTGGCAGGCAGGTGGCTGTAGTGGAAGGTACACATGTCAGTGTTGGAATTACTCATCGGACTGCAGCAGCACAAAGCGTGAGAGCTGCAGCACGGAGACAGACATGCTTTTACTCTGAGGAATCCACGTTTCAGGAGCCGTTTTACAAGTTTTTTATGTGCATTTTAATGTTATCGGAGCATTCGAAGCGTTTGAGAATGAAGATCTTTTGCCGGTTTGACCGTAGTTTGGTGGGTGGTTTTGCACACTATTCATCTTTATTCTTGTTTTCTATTACTTTAAAGGAAGCAGTGCTGGTAAATGCTTTGTGCTATAACATCCTGTCGCTTTCTCCCTTTATCTCTAGCTTATTTATTCTCTAACATAGCTGTCTCTTGGCACAGTCTCCGATTAAACTCTGAGTCATAATGCTCAGTAACACATGCGTACATGAGTATTAATGTAAAGCAATAGACAGTGGCAGACGTGCACAGGAAAATGCAGTCATGCAGAAAAAGTTTCAATTCATGCAAACTTTGCACTGTGGATTTGCGTGGGAATTTTGCATCATCCATTTGTAGCAGGTTTGTTCTGTCATCTCATTTTGGTTTCTGGCATGTGTTGTTGATTGGAAGCCTAATCAAAGGTATGTTTTCATTGCTGTTTTTGTTTAATAAAGTTGCTGTAAGTCTGCCTGACTATATTTCATTAAACTTGGAGAAGTGGTGGAGGATGTGGAAAGAAATAACATGATGGGTTTTTCATATTAAAGAGTTGCTGATGTGATAGTTTCCTCAGGTGCTAGCCGAGATTTGTGTTGACTGGTTGCAGCAGACTGTGACTCCGTGATATCAATGCCTGTAGTGTTCTCTGTCTGTGCATGGGCTGGGCTAAATGGGGGGTTCTGGGGTGTCACTGTCCACTCTGAATTGTCATGTAACTATGTAACTATGGTTGAAAATTACATCGAAAGTAAGGATGTCTAACTTCCCTTTTTCTTGTGGAAAACTGTTATCCTGTAAATATAATATAACTAAGTATGTTAGATTATACTAAAAGTAGTAAAAGTTTTTACTTTAATTGCAAACGGAAAGCAACAGATTTGAGTTTGAAAGATTTTGAAGGACTCCTTCTCATGTACAGTCCTTTTTGAAAGTTTTGGGAGTTGGACAGATTTTATTTCTACTGCTTGTTGAAGCTTAGGCAGGAGGTGCGTACAAAATGATTATAATTGACTCATTTTTAAGTTTTCAAGTGCATTTGTTTGTTTTTTTGTTTCCTATGAGCATCCATGAGTTGTTGGTTACTCCGCTCAAAGTCCCTGTCTCTGCTCTGGAATTCATTCATGTGTATATATTCAAAACGGGGACGTGTGTAATGCAGCAAGTTGTTCTATTATTTAAACAAGCAGCGAGAAGCTAATGGTGTGCATATCCCCCGTTGTTATGAAACAGCAGAGTAGTTT